AATTTGCGATGGTTTTACTTTAAATTAAATTTATACTATACTTTATGTCGGTGAATGATTATAATATAATGCTAAGCTGATATTCAAATGGATACAGTTTACTTCAAAACCGCAAATCAACAATAGCCATCATCATATTATACGTTACCTATATGTGCACTTATTTTATTCAAACGAACTGATCACATCAAACCAAGTACGTACGTGCGTCCTTGAAGACAATAACATAGTTGCAGAGTTCATACTTTGCATCTTAGTCTCCACCGAAAATAAAATACTGTAGCATAGTTTCCATTATAATTTTATTTACCAAAAATAGTTTTATCTTTTCAAACATAATTTAATAAGATTACCTAGTTAGTTATTATGCTATCTGGAACATTTATAAAGAATATAATGAGAATGAAAGTTTTTTAAAGCGTTATTCGAATTTAAACTTAGATGCACAATTTATCAATTAACACTTTTCAAATAAGTAAATAACTAATTACTATACATTTGCATTAAAATAAATGTTTTGTCTTTCATTTTAAATAGTTAACTCTGAATAATTACGGAATTTAAATGTGACAAAGTGTGTACTGTAGACAGTTAATTTGTTATATATTGTCATACTTGAGAGTGTTTTTTTTTTTTTGTTTTAATATATTTTTTTTTGTGTGTATTGGAGGATTCTAAGAAATTTTACATTATTCCAAGTAGCCCTGTTATTTATTTTCACAACTGGAAGACTGAGAACTTTAATACAAATATCTGTACTTATATATTTAATGTAACAAAATAAGTTTTTGTACTTTAGCCCCAGTGGTCATTAAATCAAAACTAATCCATTAGGATTCACTGCAAAAATCTACAATCATCCTCACAACCATTAGTTTTAACAGTTATTTATATATATATAAAGTTATATGTTTATATATTTATATGTGTGTGTGTGTTTGTATTACAAACGCTTTATATAAATATCAGTAAATTTGTAATAAATAGCGAACTTTTATACTTAAAACGTCTGTTTCAACTTGGTTTATAACAAACTTAAACTTTTTTCATTTGTTTGGAATAAAAGAGCTATATATTCGCATAAGGATTTGAATAGAGTAAAATACAAAATTCAAACATCTACTACAGGTAAATTTTAAAATTATAACAATGATTATAATAGACTAGTCGTTAAGCTCAAAACATAGTTTCTAAGTACCAAATTTTTACAAAACTTAAGAATATAATTTCTATTGATTTTTTTTTTTTTTTTGAAAATTAGACATATTTCAATTGTTTCAAAATTAAGTGGTCAGTTATCATTTGAATTAATAAGATCCTCATTTTAATTTATGTCACACGCAACATCAATAATATTGTATAAATTGTACGACATACTTTTTAAAGTGACATTCAATTGAAAATGAATCTCTTAAGTGGTGGATTTATAAAGACTTTTGTTGGATTATACTGTATAGATTAGGTAAAGTTATTTTTGCTACTTACTTTTTGTTATCTGCGTCACCGAGCCGTGTACGATTTATCGACTAACCATCAGACGACAGTCCATTGTAATCAGTCATTTTATATATACCGTAAACGAAACTTTTAAATCAAAAAAATTAGTAATATAGTTATAACATGATATTTACAATTTATTGAATATCAGCTTAATGATTCAATTTTTATAGTTGTACGTAATTCAACATAAAAAATAAATCAATTTCCTAAAACTGTTAGACGCAATTGTCATACATTCCATTTGGTTTCACAATTCAGTGATGCTGTAAAATTTAAAAGTCAATATTAAATGATTCTAAGAGTAAAAAGGTTTTTAATAGTATCTATTTTAAAATATTGGTTATTTATCTCTCATTTTTTATAAAATGTTACACTCTTATGTATGAGTGAAAAAAAAAGAAAAAAATTATCATAGTTAATCATACTATGATAGTATATTATAATTAATCATTTTTTTTGGAAAATCTAAAATTTTTTTATAGTAGAAAAATATAGATAATTATAATTTGAAATATCTTAAAAACTATTTCGCATAACCATACAAAACATGCATTTTGATTTACACTTTAAATCTATGTGCAACAACTTTAATTAAAATACAAGTTTAACATTTGTTTTAAATTACTTTTTTTTTTTTTTTAAACAACTACACAAAATTTTAAGTTTCTTGGAAAATAACAATTGCAGTCATAACTTTCATACAAATGACTTAAATAAATTATAAATAATAAAAAAAAAAAAATATTTATTCAGTTTGTTACTAATGTTTATAAACTAACTATTAACTTGTTTCCAAGTACAATAATTTTTCATTTCAATTCTCAGTGATATTTTTATGACACGATCGCTTACTCAACGAGCGCTACATATGCATACTATAATTATTCAAATAATATCACAAACGCACGTGATAAATTATTAAAACGTATTCTCAATGTGTGAAATCAAAAATTTCAATTAACTTTGAATAAATTTAAGAAGAAGAAATTATAGTAAATATTTGATTGATTATAAGATATTATACTAACCAATTATATAAGCCATTCCATATCGAATCATTTGAAAAAAATTTCGAAAATATAACAAACTATTTCAGTTTACCCTAAGTCTATGTAAAATATGAATAATGTCGGTTATATATCGTAAAATCCTATTATTGGAACCACTAAAATTAAATAAAGCGAGTAAAATTAATTGCAATATTCATATATGTAACCACTATTCATGAAAATAAAAATATAACGATATCAATCACTAATTAAATTTCGAAATTTAATTTCTTAGCGTCACTAACATTAAAGATCATGAGAGGCAAAAGCTGAGCTCTTTAAATGTAATGTATCAATTCATGGGTTATATAAATCTACGCAAAGCGGTGAACGCCCTTTGAAACCATTTCAATTTGCATGCTGGTTACACACATAGAGTATTTTCGATAATTGGATGACTCCCGATTTTATTTTCACGTTGATTGGATAATTACTTCAAGTTTTGGCGCTCTATATTCAAACAGTAGAATACTAAGTACTACCAATTTAAGTTATATGATTATACAGATAATTACAAGTTACTAAGTTTATTATTTTAAGGACATAAACAGGATGGTACAGGAATTAAAGTCAAATTGTTGCAATTAAATAAGAAATCATATAAGGTCATTTATATTAGTATTAAACTCCAAAGACGGAAGGAGTTACGCGTAAACAAATTTAAATTGGTTCAAATATTAATTAAGTTTATCTCTGCTAAATATTATTAGTTAACAAAATTTGTTTTAATAGGATTGTAAACAAAATATGTAGGTAGGTAAGTAGGTAGTTAGGTTTTTTGCAATATTATAAATCTATATAATATTTTTCTTTTTTTTTAATATGATATAGTGAAATAATATAAATTACATAACATCTAATAGTTAAAAATATATAATATTTTGTAATATTTGAGTTCAAATTTTTTTATCTGAGGTTTTTATTTGTGCAAAAATATCATACAAATTATTACAATTTTAGTTAAATAAATTGTTTTAATCGTTTATACAAATATTACAGCCACGCCGTATAAAGTGTAAAAAAAAAATATTATAGGAATCGTATTTAATTTAACGTTTCATACATAAATATTTATCTTAAATGTATTTTTATGACCTTATAGCAGTCAATACAAATGGAAATATAATAACCGTATCGCATGTATTTTATATTATTAAAGTAACATATGTACTGGAATATTTAAATCGCAGAAGTAAAATATATAAATTTAAAACAAATTTTTTTAATTCGTAAAAAATCATATTAGTTACTTTTCAAACCAATTCCAAGCGTTTAGTATACAATTTAAACGTGAGAAGAATATCAAAAACAAAATATTCAAACTGCTTTTATTGTAAATGACTACAATAATCACAATACGTACATTATCGCACAGTGCTAATGCTATGGCAATGTTAGACTATCAGTAAGACTTGTAGCCAAACTACTAATAATTATAGTTTCGGTTAAGAATGACATCTACACGTCTTGTCATTATAAAATTGACTTAAGAAAAATATTAAACTATAATAACGTTACATAAATTTGAAAATGTTTTTCGACAATTGTTAGTTTGTTTAATGTTTATACATAATACATAATATATTATACTATTTCGACAAAATAATTATGAGAACCCTTGTTCTCTCTTGTTTATCTGACTCATACTTTACTACCTGTACACGCTGCGGGTATCAAGCATAGACCTTTTTACTCAAAAGTATAAAATAAATTATAACAACGAGCCAACAATTTATGATCAAACATAATATTAATACGTACAGAGCCGGTAAACTATACACACAAAAAAGGTCACATTTACATAATATTATATTGCGGATAGGATATTATTGAAATGTACGTACATTTTGTCCCGGGATACGGTTTTCATTATCAGTCGGCAAAACGAGTTAAAGATGAGTGATATTCCAGGACTTTCACTGATCAAATACAACAAGTACGTATTTGATCGTGGCTCGAGTGCGACGAATGTTAATACTGAAACGCAACTGATACTTTTCAAGACGTATAAACTTATTCGCGAGTGATTTATACGGTGTCCGAGCTTCTATCCTACCAGGGTAATTAACAGCCCCGTTTTCTAAATCGCCTCGTACGCGATCTGACAATGTTGTAGGATTCAAAACAAAATATAATTAAAACACGATAAAACCGTTCGTTAGCTGATATACAGGTACACATTAAAAAAATAAGATATCTAGTACCTAGGTCTGTCGACGGGAGTCAAAAATACATCCTTAGTACGGAGACGGGATTCGAGTGCGAATAAAAAATAAAATATTTACGTAGCAATTTACACGGCGGTGCAGGTCTATACGAAACGTCGTACCAGATCTGCGACTTACGCGCGCATAATAAAATACGCCCGAATAGCGGTGTTAAAAAAAAATTAAAAAAGAAATTAAAAAATTCGACACGATTATTGATGAAGTTTGTGTTGTTATGTTACAGAAATCAGCGGTGGCGGCGGCGACGACGACGACAGATTCGATGTTCAACAAAACGTCGGCGGCGGCGGTGGCCGCGACGGCGGCGATGGACGTGGCCGCCGCGGCGGCCGCGGACGGCTGCGGGACGGCCGGCAACAACGGCACACAGTCCGGGCCGGCCGCCATGGTGACGGTGATCGCGGTGATCGCGGTGACCACGGCGCTGATCGTGGTCACCGTGTTCGGCAACATACTGGTCATCATGAGCGTGGTGCAGTACCCGCCGCTCCGGTCCGTGCCGAACATATTCATCGTGTCGCTGGCCGTGGCCGACCTGACCGTGGCCATCGGCGTGCTGCCGCTGAACGTCGTGTACAACGTGACGGGCGTGTGGCTGTTCGGCGGCGTCGTGTGCAAGCTGTGGCTGACGTGCGACGTGCTGTGCTGCACCGCGTCCATACTGAACCTGTGCGCCATAGCGCTGGACAGGTACCGGGCCATCACGCAGCCGATAGCGTACGCGCAGAAGCGCACCGTGTCCCGGGTCATGTGGACGGTGGCGCTGGTGTGGATCGCCAGCGCGGTGATCAGCTCGCCGCCGCTGATCGGCTGGAACGACTGGCCGGACGTGTTCGACGAGAGCACGCCGTGCGCGCTCACCACGCACCCCGGTTACGTGGTGTACTCGTCGATGGGATCGTTTTACATACCGCTGGTGGTGATGAGCATCACGTACCTGAGGATATACGTGGCCACCAGGCGGCGGCTGAGGCGCCGGGCCAAGCAACAGGTGGCCGTGTCGCAGGACAACCGGCCGCGGCGCTCGAAGGAGGCCGCCGCCAAGACGGGCAAGCCGAAGGACGGGGACGTGGACGCGGACGGCGGCAGCGGCAGCGGCAACGCCAAGATGATCGCGGACGCGGCCACCGCCGACTCGGCGAGCAGCAGCGACGAGGTGGACGCGGCCACCAACGGCACGGGCGGCAGCGGCGGCGGCGACAAGCAGCGGACGGGCCGGGGCGCGTCGGCGGCCGTGCGGGCGACGCCGTCCGTGGGCAAGCACGTCGACCAGCTGCTGGAGCACAAGCAGCGCATCTCGCTGTCCAAGGAACGCAAGCGGCCAAGACGCTGGGGCGTCATCATGGCGTGTTCGTCGTCAGCTGGCTGCCGTTCTTCGTCATCTACCTGTTCTTCCCGTTCTGCAAGTCGTGCTGTCCGCCGTCCAAGGTGCTCGTCAACGTGGTCACGTGGCTCGGCTACCTCAACTCCACCGTCAACCCGATCATCTACACCCGGTGCAACATGGACTTCCGGCGGTCGTTCAAGAAGATCCTGCACATGGACGGCCAACACAACCACCAACACTTGCGACAGCAGCACCGCCGCTGAACCGACGCGCCGCGGCGGCCCTCGGGGGCGGTGCGCCGTCCCGATACCTCCCCCGCAGCGGTTTACCGATCGCGTCCTGCTCAACCGCCATCACCTCCACCGGTTACGTAATCACGTTTTCGCGGTCCTCGGGCTACTCCGGCCAAAAGCGTTCCCGGGAAACGGTGTTTTTTACTTCGGGGGCCGCCGTAGTCGGAAGCGAACCACCGTGCTAGGCCGGAAACGGTTCGATCGATCCGTTTCCCTGTGGTTTTAGAATATTGTATTGCACGACACGAGCGAGCGTGTCAACGTTTGTTTAAATATATTTTATGTGTGGTGGATGTGTGCACGGGTGTACATAATAATATTTTATCGTTGTGTTTTGTAATCGGTTTTTATAAATTGTTTTGTTTCGTCGTCGTTGTTCGTGAAAATGACGATACGTCATCGTCACTACTGGCATTCCGCGTTGCCGATGTACCTGCATTTAAGGTACGTTCGACTGGACGTGCGGAGTATAAACTATAAACAACCGCGTTGTTTTTGATGTGAGACCATCGAGTTACTTTTTGTATAATTTAGGTATTTTTACTTTTGAGATTCCGTTTTACAAAATATAAATATAGGCGTTGTTGTACATTTCGCTCAAAAATCGTTTCTCTTTTCGTCCGCGTTCCCGCAATATAGCACTTCAAGGATTGCGTATTTTCCCATAACAGTTTTACTATTACATTTTTGAGTTACGAAATATTTAAAAATGTTTAAAACCGTTGAATAATGAATGCCATCAGAAAGTAAGAAGGTCGCATTAAATAAAAATTTGATATTTATTTTTTTTTAATTTATATTTTTTTTTTGTACAATTATGAAATATTTTATATTATGTGTTCATGTTTTGAATAATCATGTGTGAAAAAAAATACAACCCTTAACCACAGATAATAATGAATCCTGCTGAAACTATAAATTAGCATTTATAAATAACTAATGTTTTTACTAAACACATATTAATATAACTATTGTTCTTGGAGGTGAACTTTGGTTAGTTCCGTATAATATAACATTTCATTTGAGCGCCGTAACTAAATAATCTATAACTTAAATTGAATATGTATATTTTTTGAAATAGTACCCCTAAGTGTTTCCAAAAATATCGATTGTAGTTAAGCGGGCGGTAAAGAAAGCATAAAATTTATCATATCTGAGCGAACAGTGTCTCGTTCTTAACATCAAATACCATAAATATAATATTATGATAGGTACGTATACATTTATAATAATATTATACTATTATCAGCACCAAACTGAATTGATGACGGGAAATACACATCAATTGTGTTTTATGTAGAGGTTTAGCATGGCATTTAAAATAGAAAATCTATGTATTGTGAATTATTACGTTTAGATTAAACGCGATTTCAAACCAATATTTGAATAGAATTGTCAACCAACTAAACAACACTTTATCTATGTCATATTTATAAAAATTGGCTTCGTCATATTTATAAAAACATACTTATCACAAAAATATATTTATATCAGAACACTATGAAATTTTTTTTAAAAAAGCTACATCGTTACAACTGCAACGTTATTGTTTCAATAGGTTTCTAATAAAAAAAAAAATAGAAAAACTTAACCTATAATATATTATATTTTAAATTATTTATTGGGTCGAGTTTTTGAGAAAATGAAATTTATTATGTTATTATTTTCTCCGAAGTACATAATTATTATTATAATAATATATTCAATTTGTTCGTGATAAAAAAGAATATGGTCGTCTGCACAAAAAAAAATTATATTTCTCTTCATACTAGTATACTACAATACAATACACAATTGTTTTATTCATTTATTTATAATTGTTCAACAATGAATACGTACCGATATATATCTACAGTATTATTACGAGTATATTTTGTTTTGTTGAAATAATGTTTGTTAATTGTTTACATTATTATACCTATACAAGATAATAATAAAATCATGTGCTTAAAAAAATATTTATTCAATAAAATATATTATTAGAGATGTTAAAATATTGTATTTTATTAGTATTATTATTATTTTTTTTTTTATAATACCGTATTATACCAGTGATTATCAGAAATTTCACACAGGTTATAAAACCATTGTTAACTATGAAATATGAATCATTTTAAAATTAGCTAATTGAAAAATGGCTTAAAGGTCAGAAAACATTAAAAAAAAAATACATAATACAAGAATTATTTTAGACCAAATTTACCAATTATAATGTACCAAACATTCGTATACCTAGTGACTAGAAATGATTTAAATTTAAAAAATTTTAATTACAATTCATATTTTATACTTAACTATATTCTTAAAATATCAAATAATCAGTTTCAAAATAAATTAGGATTTAAATTATCATATTATCTGCCAGTAATATAGCTACTAATTTTTTAGTTCCACATTTTACTCCTTGTAAGTACTAAATACTTATATATTAGAAATTGAATAAAAAAATTATTTCTTACTTAAAAAGTTTAAATCGAAATTTGCTGATTACTTATTTTCAAGTCAAACCTAATGGTTAATTTGGAATATCAAAACAAATATAAAATAGCCAATAATCAAATAAGCAGTAGAAACCACAAGAAGAAATTAAGTATTGAATACTGGTAAGTGATTATAACTAATTAAATTAATATCTAAAATATAAAAATATACATTAACATCAATAACAATATATAGTTCGATTAAGTCGATAAGAATAAAATTAACCTGCTATGGATATTTTTAAAATGATAACGCGACGGAAATTTAACATGTCCCAATTATAAATGTTAATAATAAATAATGAAAATATTATTTATGACAATAATTACTAAATTTAACGCCTCAATTTTTTTTTTTTTTTTTTTTTATCATCTGTGTAAAATTATTTTATACCACAAGTTTAATACCTTGTATAATACAGTATTATACCATGTGTGTAATATCTTGTAAAATACAGTATTATACCGTGTGTGTAATACCTTGTAAAATACAGTATTATAGCATGTGTGTAATACCTTGTATAATACAAACTTACATTTCTATACATTATACATTATATACAAGTTATGATTTATGTCACTTTGTAATTTTTATCATATTATATAAATGATAATGAATATAAAAAAAATTTAAAAAAATGTTGTCTTTTTGTTTTATAAAAATAAGGCTAAATTTGTACAAATTTATTTATATTCTATGTTTATAGTGTTTTATGTAAAATAATTTTATTCAAAAGTTGTTTCTAGCTCAATTTCGAAAAAAAAAATTATGCAAATTTAGTCATATTTTTAGTTGTACATACAATCAATGACATTTTTGTTTTTTAATAAAGTTATTTAAAGTTGATAATTCAGGTACAGATTTTTTTGATTTTTTTTTTCAACACTAGACACTATTTATTGTCGCGTCTAATTTATGATCTGTCGTTAACACATTACCTAATGTTTTGAAATTTTTCAACTATATCCCTTTGGCCGGTTTCTAACTAACCTGGCTTAAAAAAAGCTAATAGAATTAATATAATATAATATAGTCGTTATGTACATCCATTTCATAAATTATTTCATAATGATTAAATGCCATTAAGTTCCTATACGATAAAAAATATTTATTTTTTTTTTTACTATCTACATTAGTATATACACTGTAAAAACCTATTATACTATAGATACTATAGAATACTGATTTAAATGTTATTTCGAACATCAAATGCATGGTGATACAAAATATCACGTGCATATTATAATATATTCCATATTTTGATTAAGGAATGATTATGTAATCAGAGAGACGATAGTGCGCTATTTTGTTGTACTAACGACGCCATTCGAAAGAACTGATGTTCCGAAGCAACCCTACGTGTTGTCGACAAGTTATCTTGTTATAATTTAGTATCAGATATAAATGAAAATAAAATGATATATCCGTACTGCATTTTTGATTACTTGACCCTGACAAAACACGACAAACTCTATTCTAAAGTTAAAACGTGCGATATCTGGTTTAAGTTGGAACGGTCTAACAATCGATTTTATGCACACAATACCTTTTAAAAGTTAGAAGAGACTTAGAGCATACCATTATTAACTAGTTTGCAAACAAACACAGACTGACCGATCACAAATCTTAACCTAAATCACACGAGCTTATCTTGATTTATATGTATAACGTTCTTGTATTTTAACTTATAAAATATTATCATCAAAAAATAGATAAATCGTTTAAAATCTGTCATTTAGGATACATTTAAAATGTAATATACTCCTTAGTTTCTAGTTAGAAAAGTTAGTCTGTAAAATATTTATAAAAAAAAAAAAAACTATTTTACAAAAAAAACAAATTATAAATCGGAAAAAATCTTAGATGGCTTCAAATTTGCATGGGCTTCACTGAAGAATAACATAAGAATTCAAAGAGAAACCATGAAAAAAAAAATAGAAACATATAATTTACCAAGAATAAAATAAGACCAAACGTGAAAATATTAAGCACTTAAAAGGTTTTTTTTCTTAGTTCATAATTCAAGCTATTAAATTAAATTTTAAATTTAGGTAATATTTCAAGAAAAAATAATAAAGTGCAACATTTTCACATCGTTTCTTTTCTCACCGTGTGTAATTTTTTCGTAAGTCAAATCTATTATTTATGTTCACATAAATCAGTCAAATGTTTGTATAATCTGTTACCTCATAAGATACTTATCGGCCTCTGCAATATGATCCTCTACATTGCCTACTATAAATCTCCTAGAATTTGAAGCAAGTAGCCATAAATATTGATGAAGTCTAGTGATTAGTGATGTAGGAAGTTTTATAGCACGTATCTTTAAAACATCTGGATATTTACCAAAACAAATAATTTGTTTTTAAAACACATACTTACCATTAAAATTTAATAATTATTATTCACTGTCAAAAATGTTGTTCAATTTCATCTATAACTCTGAGTAAATCTACGGAAAATGAGTGTTATGCGTGTACGATAAAAGTAAGTAATCACATTTTATATTTAATAGATGATAAAATTAAAATAATAATATCATTTAAGTTACAGAAACCTGTTAAGCAACAAAAACA